TGGGGCACTGTGCTGGAGTAGCTTTCAAATTTCATTGTATTTTGAATGCAATGACAATAAAGGTATTCTATTCTGTTCTATTATAGACCTCTTAGGAATGGGGTGAGGTCAACAGTAGACAGTCTAAGGCAGGGATCTCTAAACTCCAAGCTATGCTGGCTGGAGAATTCTAAGAGTTGAAGTCCACAAGTCTTAAAATGGTCAAGTCTGGGGACCCCTGGACTAAGGTTAAAGTTTTGGGGGTTTGGACAAGAAACCAAAGATCAGAAGACCTGGTTGAAAAAAAAATCAGAATTTATTCAAGGCGTGTTTAAAACTCTTGCCTCGCATGAAAAGTAGCGAAAACGTAAAAATAGATTAATTAGTTAGCGAAAACGTAAAAATAGATTAAATAGATTAATAAATTTACTATTAAAAAAGTAAAAAAAAAATAGTAAAAGAGATAAAAGAGCCGTTCATCCATCCTCAAACAGCTGCACACAAGCAACCAGCGGAGCGCCGTTTCCCGTTTTCTACCACCAGGGGCAGAAGAGAGCCGACGCGACGCTCTAGCCGCTGGTCCGGAAATCCCACTGGTCCCGTTTCCTACCAATAGGAGCGGAAGAGAGCCGCCTGTCGGGAATTCTCTCCCCCCCCCCTCCACTGGGGGAATCTACTTCCGGGTGGGCCTTTCTGTTCGCGGCTACGAGCGGCGGAGGCGGAGGGGGAGCTGCGGTGGTCGGGGGAGCTTCGGCTGGAGGTGAGGCCGCCTTCTCGGGCTGGAGAGGCCGCTGGAGCCCGGTAGAGTCGCCTCGAGATGCGCTGGGCTCGGCTGGCCCGCGGGCGAGGGGTCCTCTGACCATGTGCAGAGGGCGTTTTCCGGCGGGGGAGGCGGGGGAGCATCGCCAGGAGGGTCAGCCTGACCGGCGGGAAGCGCTGAAAGGCGAAGTGTCGCGCTGAAATCGAGCAAGTTGTCAGTTTCGCAGACAACCAGTTTGGGGTGCTGGACTAGGAGACCGGGAGTTCTAGTCCCGCCTTAGGCATAGAAAGCCAATTGG